CGCCAGAGGCGCCGCCGGGGGGGGGGCTCAGCGCAGATCCAAGAGGTCCGCGCGGAGCGCCAAAAGTTTACTTTTACACATGGTGCGTTTGTCTTGTGGATGCCACGACAATGGACACCCTAACAGTCCTATCACCGAATTACACATGTGTTCAACATGTCGGACACATGTCCTGACAATGCTGAAGACATGTTTTTTGTATATGCTTATTAAGACAGTTTTAACACATGATCTAGACATCTGGAAAGTACTTGGCAACAAGCGTCCTCTCGACTGATCGTCCTCCACAATGTTGAAGACATGCTTTGTACATGCTTGAGGCAGTTTTGACACATGTTCTAGACGTCTGGAATTTACTTGGCAACGCGCTTCCTCTCGATTGATCGTCCTCCACAATGTGTTGTCTTCTTCGAAGCGGCGCAACGAAGGACGAAGACGAGGCGGGCAGGGGGGGAGCAGCGACGGCCCTAGGGAGTGCGGGGCCGACCGGGCGGGAGGGAGCGGCGGCCGAGGCGGAAGGCCACTGCGCGCACCCTCCCCGCGGCGGGACACCGACAGTAGAGCAATAACAGCCCGGTAGATCCTCGATCCTGCTCGATCCTCGATCCTCGATCCTCCTCGATCTTCCTCCTCGACGCTCCTCCGTGTTCCTTTCCTCCTCGACCTTCCTCCTCGGTCCTCGGTCCTCCTCGATCCAGGAGGATCGAGGATCGAGGAGGAAGATCGAGGCGGAAGATCGAGGCTCGAGGATCGGAAGACGCGGGCGGAGACATGAGGCAGGACAGCGCAGGCAGGGGAGTCCTGGAGTGGGCTCCCGCCCACCCCGTTGAGGGGGCAGAGGAAAGACCGCTCTGCACTGGCAGCAGGAAGGCGGCCAGAGCAGATTGGGATCTGGAAGTCCAGAAGCACGTTCCACTACTCGCAAATTAGCTACTCGCAAACGGCCTGGATTCGCCGCTGGGGATTTACGATCCCCTACATAGAAGAAGACATGTGTATTTTCAAACGTTTGCGAGTAGGCACTCTGAGAGTAATGGAACGCGCCCGGTGAGTATCGAAGTGCACCCGTGCCGTTTGACTAGGTACAGAGAGCTTCTTGGGAATCTCACTCGGCCTTCTGAGCCCTCTGAGAAACCCCGACCCCGTTGCCCTGAGGTCGGACATGTCCTCCTACAGGGGGGATTTTGGACGAAAACTCTGGACTACTTTTGCGAACAGACCCGAAGACAGAGCAGAGCCACGGAAAGGTGTTCTTCCGCGTGTGTGCTCCTTGGTGTCTCTTGGCATGGGCCCCCACTGCACAGGTCGTCTGCGCACCCTCCTCCTCCTCCTCCTCCTCCTCCTCCTCCTCCTCATCATCATCATCCTCCTCCTCCTTCCCTCCTCCTCCTCCTCCCCTCCTCTCCTCTCCTCTCCTCGCCTCGCCTCTCCTCCCTCTCCTCTACTCCCTCTCCTCTCCTCTCCTCGTCCTCCTCCCTCCTCCCCCTCCCCCCTCCTCCTCCTCCTCCTCTCCTCCTCCTCCTCCTCTCCTCCCCTCCTCCTCCTCCTCTCCTCCTCCTCCTCCTCCCTCCTCCTCCTCCTCCTCCTCCTCCTCCTCCCCCCCCCTCGTTCGCCACGATATGCCGCCACCTCGTCCTCCCACTCCGCCCTCGTCAAGCCTCATGACCCTGCGCCCCCCGCCTTACACCCGCACCGTGGAGTCCCCATGTTCCAGTCTACCCCTCCTCGCCCAAGGAGATGCTACGGGGAGCTACAAGAAGCATACAGCTAATCGCGCTGGACCCCTCCCTGGCGCGCGGAGCGCGCCAGGGGCGGCGCCCCTGGCGCCGCCGAGGGGGCCCAGGCGCGGATCCAAGAAATCCGCGCGGAGCGCCAAACGTTTATGTTTATGTGTTGTGTTCCTATTCTACGTATGGTGCTGCCTTATTGCACGCTGAATAAGGAAAGAGAGCATGAGCCTCTCCTGAGCCCAGAGCGGTCCTTCTTTCAGCGCCCTCGCTGTGCGCGGACCCAACTCTTTCGGGGGTGCGCACGGTTGTCTTGGCTCGGAGCTGGAACCCCCCTCCCTGGCGCGAGGAGCGCGGCGGGGGCGGCGCCAGAGGCGCCGCCAGTGCAGTCCAGCGCCGATCCGAAGAACTCGCGCGGACATCCGAACGCAGGGCTCGAACTAGTACTGTTCTCCGATTTCGGTTTGTGTTCGCTGTTCCCGCTCTGTATTCGTGCTGCCTTTGCTGCAAAGCGGGATCAAAACGAAACCGGTCCACGCACGCAATCGTCTGAGCACGAGTCAGCTCGAGCCCTGGCCGGACGACTGTTTGCATGCCGATGCGTCTTCTGCGGGAGCTGCGGCCGGGGTCCTTCACGTCCACTCTCCTGAGCTTGGAAGCCTGGCACCGCTTGATTGTCCGCGTCGGCAGCTCGAAGGGGGTCCGCCAGCGTACGATGGGGAGGCAGAGGGGGAGCGAACGGAGGAAAGGAGGGAAGGAGGGAAGGAGGGCGGGCGAGGCGAAGGGCGGGCAAACTGGGAGTGGATGGAAGAGGAGGAGGATGAGGGGGAAGAGGAGAAGGATAAGAGAAGGCGAGCAAGGCGGATGAAGGAAGGGAGGGGAACAAAGGGCGCGCGTCCTTTCTCCCGCGTGCTTCGTGCCTCTTCCCTCCCTCCTCCTCCTCCTCCTCCTCCTCCTCCTCCTCCCCCTCCTCCTCCACCTCCTCCTGCTCCTGCTCCTCCACCTCCTCCTCCTCCTCCTCCTCCTCCTCCTCCTCCTCCTCCTCCTCCTCCTCCTCCTCCCGCTTGCGTCGGCGGCCAAGCAGAGTGCCTGCGCTGGCGGGTGGAGCCAAACGGGGCAACGTCGAGCGCATCCCGCCACCGTGCAGGAGGGGGGGCTGGGCAGGGCGACGGAGCGACGGCCGAGGCAGGGAGGGAGGCGGGCGCCGGGCGCCAGCGGCAGCAGCGGGGCCGCGGGGCCAGCGGCGGCGCCAGGGAGGCCGACCAGGTCGGCTGGCAAGGAGGAGGAGGCGGAGGAGGAGGAGGAGAAGGAGGAGGAGGAGAAGGAGGAGGAGGAGGAGGAGAAGGGAGGAGAAGGAGAAGGGAGGAGGAGGAGGAGGAGGAGGAGGAGGAGGAGGAGGAGGGAGGGAGGAGAAGGAGAAGGGAGGAGGAGGAGGAGGAGGAGGAGGAGGAGGAGGAGGAGGGAGGGGACGGCGGAGCCCGAACACCAGGACCAGCCCGGGCGCCGGGGCCCGCAGGCCGAGGGGGACGGGGCACGCAGCCGACTTCTCTGGCGGGAGCCGCGCGGCGAGGCGAGGCGGGCGTGGGGTGCGAGGGCACCGCGAAGAGGTGCAGTCGCAGCGAGCATGGGGCACACTGCCGGGGAGGACAGGGAGACGCCAAGCTGTGGTGCGCAGCAGCCCCAGCGGTGGGCGGGTGAGCGGGCCAGTGGCGAGAGGCAGCCCACGGGGGGGAGTGGTGGGCGGCGCAGGAGCGCGGCCACTCGGCCTGGTCAAAGCTGCGGGAAGCAGCTTCAGGCCCGCAGGGGCGGGGGAACGTCGGGGCGTGGGGGGGGCCAGCGCCGGCCGAGGCACCGTGGCGTGGCAGGGCGGAGCAGCCGCCCGGCCGTCGGGGGCACCGACAGCGCAGGCACTGCACGGGAGGGAGTGGGCCCGGGTGGGGGGGGATCGGCGGGGGCTGGGGGGGGGGGGAGGCGCAGGGGTGCGGCAGGGCGGCCGCCCAGGCATGGTCCAAGCTGCCCGGGGCCCGGCTCCCAGCCCTGGTGGGGGACAGGGAGGCGGGACAACCAGTGGCAGCGGGGGGGGGGGGGGCGCACCACCGCCCCCCAGCCCATGGGGGGGGGGGGGGGGGGGGGCAAGGAGCAGCCCCGAACTGGTGCAACAGCTGTGAAGCAGGGGGGCCCACGCCCAGCCCCGCGCTGGAGGGGGCCCTCTGGCGCGTAGCCGAGCGGAACGGGCCGCCCCAGGAGGGGGGACGGGCGGTGGACCGCCGTGGCTAGGAAGGCGCCGCCGCGCCCCCTGCACAGGGGCCCACAGGACGCAAGGGCGGGCTGCGGAGGGCGGCCCCTGGGCGGGGAAGGAAGCCGTGGCGCGGTGCGGGAGCACCAGGGCTGATGCAGCGGTGAGGGCCCGAATGGCCTTCCGGGGAAGGATACCCTGCACGGGCCGGGGGTGTGGGGCCAGGTGGTGAGGAACGCTGGGTGCGGCTACCAGGGCGTCGCTGCCCGGATCGCTTGTCGCTGTGCCAGGTCCGGTCGGCGCGGCGTTCGCCTTTCCCTGTAGGATCGGGACCCGTCCCTTTGCCTTCGCTTTTCCGCTGAAAATGCAAAATTCTATGATTCTGCTTGACCTTGGCTTCGGAACAGTCGATGCGGAGGCCGTGCCTCCGGCAGAGGTTGCGTATGTCGAAGTCCTCCTCGATCAGTTGCCTCCTCCCTCCCCTCCTCCTCCTCCTCCTCCTCCTCCTCCTCCTCCTCCTCCTCCTCCTCCTCCTCCTCCTCCTGCAACTCCTCCTCCTCCTCCTCCTCCTCCGCCTCCTCCTCCTTCTACTCCCACCTCCCGCACCCTTCCACAGAGAGAGAGACACACACACAAACACACACACTCACAGTAACACTCACATTAACACTCACACTCACACACACAAAACATTCATCCCTCATCTCCCCCCGTTCCCGCCTCACTCCTGCCTCCTCTTGCCTCCCCCCCCTTGCTCCATCCTCCCTCCTGGCCCGCCCCAAGCTGGCCCCCCCTCCTCCTCTCCCCCCTCCCTGCTCCCTGCGCACCCGGCCTGTGTCCAACCCGCCACTCCTCCTCCCCAGACGAGGGCGTCTAAAGACCTCGATAGCTCCCAACCTCTGCCGATGTCGTCAGTGTCGTTGTCGTTGTCGTCGTGGTCGTCGTGGTCGTCGTCGTCGGCGGCGTCGTCGTCCGTGGCCGCGCCTGCTCCAGCAGGTCGCTCTCCAGCCTGGCCCTGAGCGTCGCCTTGGCCCGCTCGTCCGTCTCGCCCGTGTAGACGCCTCGCGGGGACCGCTGGGGGAGGAGGGGGAGGAGGAGGAGGAGGAGGAGGAGGAGGAGGAGGAGGAGGAGGAGGAGGAGGAGGAGGAGGAGGAGGAGGAGGAGGGGAGGAGGAGGAGGAGGAGGAGGAGGAGGAGGAGGAGGAGGGAGGGAGGGAGGAGGGAGGGAGGGAGGGAGGGAGGGAGGGAGGGAGGGAGGGAGGGAGGAAGGAGGAGGAGGAGGAGGAGGAGGAGGAGGAGAAGGAGGAGGAGGAGGAGGAGGAGGAGAGATGGTGGAGGAGGGAAAGGAAGGGGAAGAGGAGGCGGTGGAGGAGGAGGAAAACGGATCATATCTGACATGTATAAGGGCGAAGCTGCAGATCTCGACTGAATGAGCCCCTAGAACAGACTTTGGCAGCCGCGAATTTCGGACCACCAGCAAACCCTGAAATATCCAGGGTACCGAAAGCCCAGCCAAACCACGGCAAACATCTTGCCCACGGAACCCTGACACGCGGGCAGCGGATGCAGCTAGGCCTTCACCAGCGCCGTCCCTGAAACTCCTGATCGCTGGCGTTAGGAGGAAACGGAGGTGGGGGAGGAGGACTGCCGGACGAGGTCGGCCCGAAGGCTGCGGCGGCCACCCGAAGAGGGGAAGAGTGATACCGCGCCGCTTCCGACGTCGCCGCGGATGCATGCGCGCTCCAGACTCCAGGCCAACATGCGCCCCAGGAGCGGGCCGCGGTGTGGCGGCGCCAGTGATTCTCTTTGGCGTCGCGCAGGGAGGGCTAAGGGGGAGGGGGGAGGCCTCTGAGGGAGATGCTGCGTCTTAGGAGGCGCGGGCCCTACATCTGCAGACAAGGCCCGCGCGTCCAAGACGCAACATCCTTTCAAGAAGCCCCTCCCTTCCCCCCACCCCGCCCTTTTCGGGCCGGGCGAAAGGGGAGGATTGGGAAAATCAGCTACGCGAGCTGATTCTCAAACCCCCCCTTTGCTATCCCCCCCTTCCCCCCACCCCGCCCTTTGCGCATGGCTGAGCTCCGCCCTTCAGAACCCACACCGCCAGGGCGGCCTGTCAAAACGCCACGACGTGGCCCGCGCGCAGCCCCCCGCGCGGAGCCCCGGGCTGCCCCCAAGGGGGCCACCCGGAGCCGCATGCACCGAGGGTTCGACAGCCGAGGACCCCCTGGGCGGCCCGAGACGCCTCGCGCCCGCCGTCTCGAGTGCCAGACGAGCAAGCCCGAGAGTTTGAGTATCGTTCAACCGATCCCCATCCCCAGCGGCGTGGCATGGGCCCCACTGGCCGATCTACCCCCCCCTAGATGGGGATATAGGCCGTATCCTTCGCGCTTCGAGGAGTGGATCCCCAACAACTGGGAGGGTAATTTGGTGGGGGTCTGCAACGCATAGGGCCCCCACCACCAACGCACCCCCCTGTGGCGTCGAGGAAATGCCGCGCCGACCTCGCCCTGCGAGCCTGCAATGCATAGGGCCCCCCACGCAGCGCCCCCCCTCTGGGGCGTCGAGGAAATGCCACGCTTGCCACGCACTGCGAATCTTACGCGCACGTCTTGTAAATGGCATGTCATGTGTATGTGAATGTTGCGCGTGAGGCCTTATCGGGACGCGCGTCTCATCATGATGCCCACAATGTGGCGCACGCGTCGTGTAGGTATGACGCAGTGAACACGCCAAGCGTGCACTAGCGTTATATGTTGAATGTTGTGCGCGCGAGTGTGTGCACGCGTGCGGCTGCATGTAGACGCGCGTCTCATGTACGTGCCACGGATCGGGAGACCACCCCCAACGCACTCCCTCTGGTGTCGAAGCAGCGCCAGGCTTGCCACGCTTTGCGAGCCCGAAACGGATAGAGAGACGAGGTGAGGTGAGGTGAGGCGAGGCGAAGTGAGCTTCGCGGGTGGGACGCGGGAAGGAAGAAAACCAAACCCCCACGAAACATGTGGGGAACAGTTTACGCTTCCGCAAGGGTAACCAATGATTTTGGGCGGTCGCAGCCCTGTGGGGGGCGTCTTGGCGGCGTGCACGGCTCTCCTAGAGGCATCTCCGGCGTCTGAGGGCCATCCGCCGACGACCGGTGGCCGTCCCGGGGCTGCCCGGGCTTCCTCCCGAACGGCTCCGGCGAACCGTGGACCCCACGCCCCGTGGAGGCGCCGGCCCCGGAGGCCCTGACCCTCTACGGCGCTGGCCCCCGAGGACCCCACGCATGCGCTTCGCGCAGGCTTAGTTTACAGTCGACCCCGAAGCTGGAATCCACTATACTATCACACAGTAGCATATGAGACAACATGCTGCAACATCGGTTGGCAGTGTTTCGACATGCAGACGCGGGGCTTCTGATTCACATGCTCGACCGCTAACTCCATACGACGAGCAAATCAAACATGCCCCCTCCAAACGAAGCGGCCCCGACACGCCAAAAGCATGCCGTCGCAAACTGAGCTCCCTCTGGCCTGCGGGCCGCAGCCCCTGACCCAGACCGAGGGGTCCTCCGAGCCCGCGTCCACCGCCAATGCGCGGCGCCGACTGCCGGCTCGAGGAACTCGAGGAAGTAAAAGGGTGAAAAACCAGTGCTGGCAGTACTATTATAAACCCTCCTGCTGTGGGTTTCCGTTTTGAATTTGGCGCTCTGGTCTCCAGTGCTTCCGCCTCCCTCTTCCTCTTCCTCCGTCTTCTGTGGATACTACACAACCAGGATACTATACAAGCCTGGGCCTCACATGTCCTTGTACGCCGCGTGTGGAACACAGGGCGGGCTGTTCTTGGAGCCTCGTCGGGGTCTTTTTGACGCCTCTCACGGATCGGGTGTGTTTTGGGCCTCTGGTTGGTCCCGGAGTCCTCTCGGAGGTCTCTGGAAGCCTCCTGCTCCCACTCTTAGGCCCATCTTGGGTTTGTTCTGGGGTGGTCTGGGGCTGTCCTGGGCGCCTCTTCTGCAGTCTTGGAACGTTTTTGGCCCGGAACGCCATGGAAGCACCGTCTCCATGTATACTGTCCTGAAGGTCTCTTGGGTGGTCTTGGGGCGATCTTGGGAGCCTAGTCGGCGCCCTTGGGCCGTTGGAAGCTCGAAAACGCGAGAAGCCAAAAACATTGATAAAACATTACACATCTACGATGTTGGCCTTTTCGGGCCGTCCCGGGACGCCTCTCGGACCTCTCTCAAAGTTTCTTGGAGGTCACCTTGGGGCCACGAGAACCGTTTGAACGCTGACTTGGGCTCCAGGAGCAGGAAGAGCAGGAGGAGAAGGAACAGGACGGGGAGGAGGAGGTGGAGGAGGAGGGAGAGGAGGAGGAGGAGGAGCAGGGGAGGAGGAGCAAAGGAGGAGGTGCAGGAGTATGAGCAGGAGGAAGAGGAGCAAGAGCAGGAGGGGGGAGAAGGAGGGGGAGGAAGGGGGTGATGGAGGGGGCACGGGGGGAGAGGATGAGTTGCAGGAGTAGAAGCGGGAGGAAGAGTAGCAGCAGCAACAGCAGCAACAGGAGGTGCAGGAGGATCAGGGGAAGGCGGGGGAGGAGCAAGAGGAGGAGGAGGAGGAGGAGGAGGAGGAGGAGGAGGAGGAGAAGGAGGAGGAGAAGGAGGAGGAGGACGACGACGACGCAGAGGAGCCCCCCTCCGTCGTGCCTATTATGTCTCCTCCTCCTTCTCGTCCTCCTGTTCCTCCTCCTCCTTCTCCTCCTCCGCCGCCTTCTCCCCCGCCCTCTCCTCCTCCTCCTCCTTCTCCTCCTCATCCACCTCCTCTTCCCCCTCCTCTCTTCATCCTCCTCTTCCTCCTCCTCCTCCTCCTCGTCCTCCTCCTCCTTTTCCTCATCCTCCTCGTCCTCATCGGTCCCCTCGCCATTGTCCTCGTCCTCCTTCTCCCCCCCCCCCATGTTTTGAGCTTTGTGACAAGTCTTTGGCTCGGTCGTGGGACATCGAGACGCAATGAGCGGTGTCGAAACCGCCCCTGGCGACCGCGAAGGCCCCCAGGCCTGTCTCGTGGCCCGAATCGGCCGTGTTGGGGTGTTCGGGGTTCCTCGTTGGCGCCGCTTCAGCCGTCAGGGTGACCTCTGGTGCCGTCGTGGGGCGCGGCTGGGGGCCTCTGAAGCCGCAGCGGGGCAGTCTCGGGGACCTTTAGGGCGAGTTTGCACCGTCGAGAAACAGAACAGGCTGGGTGGCCAGAAACCCCGGCGAAACCATTGGAAAAGCTGGAAGTTGAGCCTCTAGGGGCCTCTGTGGGAAGCCTCTAAGAAGCCTTGTTTCCTGGCGAGGTGGCCTGGAGAGCTGTCATGGGGCGATCGTCGGCGTCGCGCAGGCCTGGAAGCGACTCTGGCGGCTCGTGGAGCCTACTTGGGGGCGCTGGTCCCCCCATGCGGAGCCGGCTTGGATCGCGGTTGGGAGCCCAGGGGGCCCGAACCTCATCGGTCTGGGCGTCCTCTTGGGCTGCCGTGCAGCGTGGGGATGCAGAACAAGCAGGATGAGTGAGAACGTGGAAAAACCTTGGGCAACAAAAAGAGAGATGCCTCAGAGAGCCCTCTGGGGGGGCCTCTTGGAAGCACGCCGCGTCGACGAAGTCGCTCGGGGGACTATCTACGATCGTTCGTCGGCGTCGCGCAGGCCTGGACGCGACTCTGGCGGCTCGTGGAGCCTACTTGGGGGCGCTGGTCCTCCCATGCGGAGCTGCGGAGCCGTCTTGGATCGCGGTTGGGAGCCCCAGGGGCCCGAACCGCATCGGTCTGGACGTCCTCTTGGACTGCCGTGCACCGTGGGGATGCAGAACAAGCTGGATGAATGAAAGCGTGGAAGCAACCATGGGGAAAAACACAAAGAAAAAGGCCTCGGGGAGCCCTCCGGATACCTCTTGGAAGCATGAGGTGCCGACGAAGTCGTTCGGGGGGGGGGGGGGTCATCGTCGGCGTCGCAGGGACTTTGGAGCGTCCCTGGCCGCTCTGTGACCCTACTGGGGCGCGCCGATCCTCCCATGCGGAGCCATCTGGGGACAAGGTTGGGAGCGTCTGGGGCCGAACCGGGACGGTCTGGGCGTCCCCTTGGGCTGCCGCGCAACGTGGGGATGCAGAACAGGCTGCATGGAGAGAAGCGTGGAAAAAAACGATGGGAAAATCAAATGTTCGATTTTTTGGGAGCTCTCCTGGAGGCCTCTGGGAGGCCTGTGGCAGACCTGAGGCACCAGGCGGGAGCACCCCCTGGAGTTCCCTGCAACCTCTTGGAGCTCTGGTGGCTCCAGGCTGGCAAAAAACCCGATATATATATATATATATATATATATATATATATAAAAAGGAAAATAAGACCCTGCACTCCCCATGCGCCGCCGAGATCTCTGGGCGGGACCCCCGGCCACGTCCCCCGGGGCTCTGGTGGCTCCGGGTGGCCGAAACCTTGTAAAACACAATGAAAATGAGGCCCCGGGCCCCCCATGCCCCGCTGAGGTCGCTGGGCGGGACCCTCCCGGCCACGTCCCCCGGGGCTGTGGCGGCTCCGGGTGGCCGAAACCTGGTAAAACACCTGGGAAGTAAGGCCCCGGGCCCCCCATGCCCCGCCGAAGTCCTTTGGCGGGGACCCCCCCGCCACGCCCCCTGGTACCTATCGATCTATCTATCTATATATCGATCTATATGTGAATATGCAATTGTATATATATATATATATATATACTACACCCGAGAAAACCCAATCAGTGGATGATTTGATAATTGATACTATTGATCTTGAGATCAATTGCGAGATCGATCATGAAATCGATAGTGTAATCGATAGTGAAACGATTGTAGGGTCGATCGAGAGACCGAGAATGCATTCGATTAAATGAGATCGATAGTGAGGTCGATCGCGAGATCGTTCATGCGAACTCTGGGAAAATCGCTTGTGATATTGATACGGAAATGAGATCGATCGAGAAATCGGTAATGAGATCGATGCTGAAACCGATCGATAAGAAAATCGACCAGGAACCCGGAATCGAGAACCCGGGAACTTGGAACTGGGAACCCGAGAACGCGGGAACCCAGTCTGCCACCAAAATCGACGGGGCAAGTTCGCCAAATACTTCAACATCCGCTAGGACCCCTTCAGTGCAAGCACCGATTGGGGAATACACTACACCTGAGAAAACCCAATCAGTGGATGATTTGAAAATTGATACCATTGATCTTGAGATCAATTGCGAGATCGATAATGGAATCGATAGTGGAATCGACAGTGAAGACGACTGTAAGGTCGATCGTGAGACCGAGAGTGAAATCGACTAAATGAGATCGATAGTAAGATCGGCGGCGAGATCGCCCATGCGATCTCTAGTGAGATCGCATATGAGATTGATGTTGAGATCGATTGTGAGATCGATCGAGATGTCGGTAATGAAATCGATGGTGAGACCGATCGATAAGAAGATCGACCAGAAACCCCGGAACCCAAGAACCTCGCCGCTCCGAAATCGGCCCAGGACCCAGAACCAGGAACCCGGGAACCCGGATACCCGGAACCGGGAACCCGGGACTCCAGCCTGCCACCAGAATCGGCGGGGAACTTTCGCCAAATCCTTCGCCTTCCGCTAGGACCCCTTCAGTGCAAGCACCGATTGGGGAACATGTATATATATATAAATATATATAAACCAAAAAACAAAAACAAAAAAAAAGGCTGGGAGTGCTTGGGAGCGCCTGGGAAGGCCTGGATTGACTCCAGCGCCTCTGGCGGCCCACGCGCTCGCGCGCACGGGCTGCCCCCCGAGCAAGAACACCGAGTGTTTGGGGCCGCAGCCGGCTCGCCCCGGGTCGTGCCCTCGACCTCGTGGCAGCAGCAGCTGCTGTCGTTGGCGCACTCCGCATAGGAGCTGCGAGCGGCGCAGGTATCGGCGGTGGACATAGAGGAAAAATAACTATGCACAGACGCCGATTCTGGCCAGGCCCATCCTGAGCCCAGGATCGGTGCATACGCCCTCCTACCTTGGCCAGGAAGGCATATGCACCGATGCTGGGTCGAGGATGGGCCTTGCCAGGATCGGTGCATGTGCATAGTTCTCTTCGCCCGAGGACAAACCTCCCTTTAGTAACTTTAGTAAACCTCCCTTCAGTGAAAACGGCCTGGGGCCGAAACCGCCGGACCTGGACCCGGACAAAATCACGGCCGCGACGCCCCCTCGCGAATCGACAGCGGCCAATTCACTGATCGACGGTGTGAGGGTAGGAGGTCTCTGTCCACCCCCGAGCACGGGTGTTTCGAGCGGTGCAGGTACAGCCGCTCGCCGCGCAGGTGGCCGCGCACTCCCCTGGAGGGCGTCCTCGTCGCAGCCGCCGCCCTGCACGGGGCCGCGCGGGGCGAGGAGCGCCGCGGCCAGGGCTGCCTCGGCGAGTCCGAGCTGCTGCCTCGCTCGGAGGCGGCGGGCCGGGCGCGCAGGTGCGGCCGGAGGTCCGAACACGACATCTGCCCTGGGCAAACCTGCTGGAGACAGAAGGGCTAACGACCGGCTCTCCAGCCCGACCTGTTTTCTTGACGGTCCGGGGGCCCCGTGGGGAGGGCCCATGCGGAGACCCAGGGGCGGGGCAAGGGCTCGGAGAGCCCTCCTCCTCCTCCTCCTCCTCCTCCTCCTCCTCCTCCTCCTCCTCCTCTCCTCCTCCCTCCTCCTCCTCCTCCTCCTCCTCCCCCCTTCTCCTTTCCTTTTCCTTGTCCTCCTCCTCCTCCCCTCCTCCTCCTCCTCCTCCCTTTCCTCTTCCTCCTCCTCCTCCTCCTCCTCCTCCTCCTCCTCCTCCTCCTCCTTGGACGCTCTAAACGGCCCGACCGTACAGATGCAAAGCGCGAGCTGAACAGTGGTTTCCGTGCTCGCAGTGCTTCCCTTGTCCTCGTGCTGGCCTTGCTCCGCTTGTGCTGCAAAACGAGACCAGAAAAAGGACACGGTCCACATAACCGCCAAAGCACAACTTAGCTCGCGCCCAATGATACTGCTCTTGACTCCTTTCGACAAGTCAAAGGGTCACGAGTCACCAATATCCATGATGTATGCTTCTGAGGATCCTCTTGAGGGCTCTCTCGAACCGATCTTGGCGCGCATTTGAGAACCTGACCGGGCAAATACGGGAAGCGCCGCTTTAGTCTGATGGGCGTATTGAGCGAAAACGAAGAAGAACGAACAGGGGAGGGCGACGAGGAGGCGATGACGAGGACGACGTGGAGAGCGTGAGGATAGCGAGGGGCATGAGGACAACGAGGAGGAAGAGAAGCACAATAATGAGGACGAAGAGAACGAGGGCGAGAACGAGGAGGAATGCGGAGGACGATGACGACGACGACGACGACGACGGAGGACAATAGGAGGAAATTAGACATGGACGTTGAACCAGGAGAGGGTCCTGGTCCTGGCGACGCGCGGGGTTGTCTTGGGGCCTGTTGGGGGCTTCTTTGGGGCCTCTTGTGGGTTTCTAAGGTCTTCTTCGGCTGTCTGGGCGCGTCTTGGGGATATTTTGGAGCTTTCTTGGCCCGTCTAGGCGCCATCTGCGGCCTTCTTGGGACTTTCTTGGGCCGTTTGGGGGCCTCCTGGGGCGCCCCCGGGAATCTCTCGGGGACCTCTCGGCCAGTCTTGGGCCGTCTTGGGGTTCTTGTGAACTGTTTGGGTGCCTCCTGGAGCGCTCTCGGGGGTCTCCTGAAGCCTTCTTAGGGGCGCTCTTGGGCGTTCCTCGGGCCCTCCAGGGCGTCTTTTGGGCCTCCTTTGGGGCCCTTCGGGAGCTATTCCAAGACGATGTCGATACGGAGTCCCCTCCAGGGCCGATTTGTTGAGGATGTCTCGATCGAAACGGCCATTGTTCAGAAACCTGATCGGACAAGAGGAACCGCCGCTTTTGTCCCATGGGAGCGTTGGGCTAAGAAGACGAATGAAAAGGGCGAGGGCGACGAGGAGGCGATGACGAGGACGACGTGGAGAACGCGAGGATAGCGAGGAGGTGCATGAGGACAACGAGGAGGAAGAGAAGCACAAGGATAAGGACGAACATAACGAGGGCGAGTACGAGAAGGAATGCGGAGGACGATGTCGACGACGACGACGACGACGCGACAACGACGACGACGACGACGGAGGACAATAGGAGGCAATTTGAGATGGATGTTGAATCAAGAGAGAGTCCTGGCGACCCTATCGTGCTATCCTGGGGGTTTCCGGCGCCGCGCGGGGTTGTCTTGGGGCCTGTTGGGGTCTTCTTTGGGGCCTCTTGGGTCCTCTTGAAGGCTTCTGGGGTCTACTCCGGCTGTCTGGGCGCGTCTTGGGGTTATTTGGGAGCTTTCTTGGGCCGTCTCGGCGCCATCAGCGGCCTTCTTGGGACTTTCTCGGGCCGTTCGGGGGCCTCCTGGGGCGCTCTTGACTGTGGACTGTCCGGGTTTCTTGTGGACTGTCTGGGTGTCTCCTGGGGCGCTCTTGAGGGTCTCTTGTGTCCCTTTTGGGGCGCTCTAGGCGCTTTTTTAAAAGTGTTGTTTGTTTCGCTTCAAAAGCGTTTTCATTAGCCTGCTCCGTTTGAAGCAGCTCTGACACTTGCTCGAGTAACTCATCGAGCACCTGCAGAGCGAGCTGTTGATTTGAAGACCATCACAAAGTCACGATGCAGCGGACACTTCGCTACTCGGAGCTCCTCAAGTCCCTCCTTCAAGGACGCGGCGGATGAGAACAGCTCTGGGCTATCAGAACCGCGCCGCGTTGGCGCCGGCACACGCGCGGCTGGGCGGCAGCGTCTGCGTGGTCCTCGCTGCCGAGAAGCCCGCCAACCTCGTGGCCTGTGTCTCCCAGATTCTTGACGGACATGTTCAAGTAGCCCTCGCCTTTCTTCTGGCACGTCACCTTCAGGTCGACCGTGCCGAAATGCATCCACTGCTTCCACGTCGCGCCGCCGGGCTTGCCTTTCGGGTCTGCGGAGAAACCGATGCGCTCACTCTGGTTCGTCCATGTCCCCTAGATGGTGACGACCTGGAAGCACACCGAGCAGGGGTTGCCCATGCGCCTGGCGTCGGCCTCCACGAGCAGGAGCGTGCTCGCGGGCTCCGCCCATCGCGGCAGCTGCAAGAGGACGAGATTGCCAGGCTTCTAGATGTCCAAACGATCCCCAAACATGTTACTGAAATGGGGGTCGCCCGCGCCGGACGCCGTAGTTGCCACCCGCTTGACGTAGAACACGAAAGCCAAATTGGTTGTCGCCTGGCGTGCCCTGCGTGATCGAAGCGTTGGTACCAGGAACGTATATCCAGTCGGACGGGGAGAAGACAGAAGCCTCTTACGGGAAGAAGAAGCATTCCCGTGCGTACGAGTCATGGTACGAGATGCCGGTGCACTCCACAAGATCTGAGCAACGGTCCTTGCAAGACGCGAGGCTTCTGTTGGGGTTCTTGTCCTTGCATGGCTTGGGTAGCCGCCATTGGCATCTCGACAATGCCCATCGTATTGGGTATAGTCGGCAACATTGATATGCATGCCGACGGTCGGGCTCTCATACATTGCCACCTGGAGCATCTCTGCATCGCAGCCCCCTGGGCTTGACTCGACAGCAAACGAGCCAGGAGCGCCGAAGGAGCTGAGCAAGCAAAATACGCACACGCTGGGCGTCCAGTGCGCCATGCCTCTCGGGGTGGAACCTCAGTAATCGATCCCGATTGTGATCGGCTTGCTCTTGAGCAAAGGTCTTGAGCCAGAATGGATACGGAGGCGCTCTGAGCGCTCTTGGGGCCCTCCAGGGCGTCCTTTGGGCCTCCTTTGGGGCCCTTCGGGAGCTATTCCAAGACGATGTCGATACAGAGTCCCCTCCGGGGCCGATCTGTTGAGGATGTCTCGATCGAAACGGCCATTGTTCAGAAACCTGATCGGACAAGAGGAACCGCCGCTTTTGTCCCATGGGAGTGTTGGGCTAAGCAGACGAACAAAAAGGGCGAGGGCGACGAGGAGACGATGACGAGGACGACGTGGAGAACGTGAGGATAGCGAGGAGGTGCATGAGGACAACGAGGAGGAAGAGAAGCACAAGGATGAGGACGAATAGAACGAGGGTGAGTACGAGGAGGAATGCGGAAGACGACGACGACGACGACGACGACGACGACGACGACGACGACGCGTCGTGGGGTTATTTGGGAGCTTTCTTGGGCCGTCTCGGCGCCATCTGGGGCCTTCTTGAGACTTTCTTGGGCCTTTTGGGGTCTCCTGAGGCGCTCTCGGGAGCGTCTTGGGGCCCTCCTTTTGGCTGTCTTGGGCCGTCTTGGGGCTCTCCTGAGCTGGCTGGGTGCCTCCTAGAGCCTAGAGCGCTCTTGAGGGTCTCTTGGGGCCCTCTTGGGGCGCTCTTGGGCGCTCTAGGGGCCCTTCGGGGCGTCTTTTGGGTCTCCTTTGGGCCGTTCGAAAGCCATCTGGGAGTCGATTCCAAGACGATGTCGATTCGGAGTCCCCTCTGGAGCAAATGTTTTGAGGATGTCTCGAGCGAAACGACCATTTTTCCGGAACGGCAGACCACAGGAGCATAGCAGACCACAGCAGCACGGCAGACAAGCACGGCAGACCACAGGAACATGCCAGACCACAGCAGCACGGCAGACCAACCGGCAGACCACAGGAGCATGGCAGACCACAGCGTCACGGCCTCCGTAGCCATTTTGGCTCAAGGCCATGGCGCACCCGACGACCGCGAGTCCGTCGGGCGTTCTTGAGCGCGAGGGGCGCTTCGCCAAGAGCCAGAAGCTTCGCCAATTTTGGTTCTCCTCGTTCCTTCAGGGTCGGGAGACTCGGCCGAGCTGCAGACAGTCCCACGGCGTGCCGCCATGTCGGCGGGTGCCTCGGGGCTGGCCAGGCGGGCGTACTGGCTGTGTGCTAAGCGTGGCTGCGACGCTTGGAACTGGTGTGACAAGCGTTGGACGTGCAAGGTGTGCGGCACCAGTGCTCCCCCATGGACGAAGGAGTACCGCCCCGACAGGGGCCCCCCGAGAGTGGACGCGGACGGGTTCGTTCAGCAACCCAGAGGGAGGGCTGAACAGCGGGCTGCGAGGCGCTCAGCCTCCCAGCGGGCCCTCTCGGGGAGCACCGCGCCCAGCAGCACCCCCAACAGCAGGGCAAGGCGGGTGCGGCCTCGGGGAGAGGCCAAGGCCCAGTGCGTGGAGCTGCAGGCGCAGCTCGTGGCGGCCAAGGAGCGCGTCGACAAGCTCCAGGAGGCCCTGGCGCTCGGGCTCTCGGCGGACTTCCAGCGGGAAGTGGAGGGCGCCCTCCAGCTGGGCAAGGACCAGGTCGCCGCATGTGAGCTGGCCGTCCTGGAAGCCCAGAGGACGGACCGCCCTCCGCACTCGGTGCTCCACATCGAGGCCAACGCCATTCAGAAGGTCGAGCGCCAGCTGGCCGCGGCTCGCACCAAGAAGGAGAGGCTCCAGCTGCAGGCGTCCGAGCTGCGCGAGCTCATCGCGGAGAAGCAGGAGCAGCTGTCGGCAGCCGAGTTGGGAGTGGATGAGGTCGCGGGGCAGATTGCTGAGCTGGAGGAGACCC